AGTGGTGCTGTGGCTCAAGTGGTAGAGCGCTAGCCTTGAGCTGAAGAGCTGAGGGACAGCACCCAGGCCCAGAGTTCAGGCCCCATGACCGGACCAAAAAAAAAAAAAAGAATCTCATAGACTTTTCTCTCCCTGCTATCTTTGAGCCACAACCCTCATATCCCAGGTTCCTGAGCATGTAGGATTACAGGCATGAGCCTGGTGGGTTTTTGTTTTGTTTTAGGGCTTGAACTCAGTGTCTGGGCACTGTCCCTGAGCTTTTGTGCTCAAGGCTAGCCCTCTACCACTTCAGCCGCCGTTCTACTTCTGGCTTTTTTTTTTTTGGTGCTTAATTGATGTGTAAGACTGTCATGGACTTTCCCGTCTGGACTGACTTTTGAATCATGCTCCTCAGATCTCAGCCTCCTAAATAGATAGGATTACAGGCGTGAGCCGCCAGCGCCCGGCCTCAGCTCTATCTTCCATCAGCTGTGTCATCTTGAGCAAGTTACCAGATCTGTGTTTGTTTTTATTATTTATTCCTTCCTTCATTTATTTATTTTATTGGTCGTGGGGCTTGAACTTTGGGCCTGGGCGCTGTCCCTCAGCTCTTCAGCTCAAGGCGAGCATTTTAACGCTTGAGCCACAGCGCCACTTCCAGTTTTCTAGTGGTTTATTGGAGATAAGAGTTTCACAGACTTTCCTATCCAGGCTGGCTTTGAACCGAGATCCTCAGATCTCAGCCTACTGAGTAGCTAGGATTTCAGGCGTGAGCCACCAGTGCCCGGCCAGATCTGTGTTTATGTATGCATTAATATAACAGTGCTGGGAAGGTGGCTCAGTGGTAGAGTACTTGCCTTGTATGCGTGAGGCCCTAGGTTCGATTCCTCCGTATCACATAAGCAGAAAAAGCTGGAAGTGGTATTGTGGCTCAAGTGGTAAAGTGCTAACCTTGAGCTGAAAAGCTGAGAGACAGCACCCAGGCCCAGAGTTCAGGCCCCATGACCAGCAAAAAAAATATATAAATAAAAATAAATAAATAAAAAAGCAGTGCTCATTGGTATTAGTAAGAGTACAATCACATGCCTGGGCTTCACCATGGTAATTTTATGTTCAGTTGCTTCTTCACGTTGTACTTCCCCAAATTATGTTTCTCAAACTTGACCTTGTATATGACTGTTGGTGGGAAGGGTGCTAACTGGAATATGAGATTAATTTTTTTTCCATCGATTATGGGGCTTGAACTCAGGGCCTAGGCACTGTCAAGTTTTTTTTCTCAAGGTGAGCACTCTATACCACTTTGAGCCACAGCTCTACTTCCAGTTTTCTGGTGGTTAATTGCAGATAAGAGTCTCACGGACTTTCTTGCCTGGCTGCCTATGCTGGCTTTGAACCACAATTCTCAGATCTCAGCCTCTTGAGTCGCTAGGATTACAGGTGTGAGCCACTGGCACCCAGCCTGAGACTAATTCTATTTATTTATTTATTTATTTTGGTGGTGGGACTTGAACTCTGGGCCTGGGTACTATCCTTCAGTTCTTTCGCTAAAAGTGAATGCTCAATCACTTGAGCCACAGCTCCACTTCCAGTTTTCTGGTGGTTAATTGGAAATAAGAGTCTCATGGACTTTCCTGCCCGGGCTGGCTTTGAACCGCAATCCTCAGATCTCAGCCTCCTGAGTAGCTAGGATTATAGGCCTGAGCCACCAGTGCCCTGCTAGCCTGACCAGCTCCTTGCCATGGCTGTGGTACTGGTGTGGGGGTCACACTTTGAGTAGCTGGGTTTAGGGCTTTTTGGCCTTTCTCCCTTCTCTTGTCTCTCTTGGATGGGCCTGCTTGCTCTTTGATTGCCTCTCAGGATCACCAGCCTTGTGTCCCCACCTTCTTTGGTGGGTGCCATCGTTTCATCCACTACCTCCAGAAAGAAGTTGCCAGGGCTGGTTGTACATCTTCCTGCGTTTGTCCAGGGCCTTGAGGACCTGCTCTGGGTGGAGATTTCAATGGGTTGAGTATCCAGCTGTAGCCATAGTGCAGGCTCCTCAAGAGGGTGGGCCACGAGAAGGCACACAAGCCTGAGTGCTACATTAGGCCTGCTCCAGACATGGTGCACCAGACTTGCCTTGAGGCTTGAGAACTGATATTGTTTGTTTTCCAGGACAGAGGTGCTGGTGTATGGCCCCGCTGCCCGGGGCAGAGCTGGTCCAGAGGCCGCTGCAGCTCTACCGATACTTGCTGCGCTGCTGCCGTCAGCTGCCAACCAAGGGTATACAGGAACACTACAAACATGCTGTCAGGCAGGTGTGTGCTGTGGCTTCCTTGAATGGGGACCTACTGGGGAGCCGGAAGCCAGGGTATAGGGCAGTGTTTCAGGTGGGAGTAAGGCTGGGCAGTTTGGTGAAAGCCACAGGAAAGCAATGCTGGGCAGCCTGGCTCCTCTCCAGTCAACAGTTTCATCATCTGGCATGCCTGTGCCGTGCCAGGACACAAATCAACTGAGCGGGTACTGAAAGAGACTATAGAACACATGTCATTTTGCCAGCAGCGCACGTGAACTTCAGCATAAGCAAACATCAAGTAAATCCAAGTGGAGAGACCATCTTCCACACCGCATACTCGCCTGTACTTTTTGGAGTATCAGTTTTGCCAGCTATGGTAGCTCAGGCCAGTGATCCCAGTGTCAGGAAATCCAGGCAAGAGGATTGTGAGTTTGAGGCTCGCCTGTGCTACACAGTGATACTGTATCTCAAAAAGCTGAAAAAAAAAAAACAGTTTCATGAAGCACAAAGCAATAGCTCTTCTGACTGGGCACTGGTAGCTCACACCTGTAATCCTAGCTACTCAGGAGGCTGAGATCTGAGGATCACAGTTCAAAGCCAGCCCGGGCAGAAAACTCTGTGAGACTCTTCTCTCCAATAGACCACCAGAAAACCAGAAGTGGAGCTGTGGCTCAAGCGGTAGAGCACCCACCTTGAGCTGAAGAGCGCAGGGACAGCGCCCAGGCCCAGAGTTCAAGCCCCATGACCGACAAAAAAAAAAAAAAAGTAATAGAGCATTAGCCTTGAGCGAAAGAGCTCAGGGACAGCACCAAGGCTCTGAGTTCAAGCCCTACAACTGGGGGAAAAAAAAAAGCAAGCTCAAGGACAATGCCCAGACCCTGAGTTCAAGCCCCAGTAATGGCAAAAAATAAAAATACCAAAAGGGAAGAAAGAAGTAACTATTCTGACTCTAAGTCTTAGTCCTGCTTGGATCCTGAACCAGAAACAACTGCTTCTGTTTCTTCTTTCTGCTTCTGCTGCTGCTGCTGCTGCTTCTGCTGCTGCTTTCTTCTTCT